GCAGTGAAGGATCAAAACGGTACTATAACATAATTATCTCTTTTAATAAATTATTATTAGTTTATTATATTTGAATAAATTAAAATTTTCCACATGTGTGGATTTTTAAAATTATTAATTTGAATGTTTTTTTAAACTGTGAGTATTTTGCCATTCCATGGAAAAGGTTTTAAAGTTTTCTTTTGTTTTTCTTGAGAAGAAAGTATATCTATCTGTCTATTTTTTATATTGCTCTGATAGACATTTGAAGTAAAGATTTACAAGCAAGAAATTTTGATATCTGTGTTTTATAATAGTGTATATATAATCTGTGTTTTTTTACTACAGTCGAACCTCTATATTGCGAATTTTTTTATATATCGAATTTTTTTCTGGAATCTTGAATATTTCACGATTTTCTTCGTAAAATAACCTCTCTATAGCGAAGTGCATTTTCTATGTAACGAACTTTTTCTTTTGTGATTCAATTTTTTTTCTCCCTATTTTTAAAGTATTTCTGGACATTTCAAATTATTCTCTCGTTTTATGGTGGTCATAAATCTTTAAATGGTTTTATTATATCCTAACTCGCCGAGGACAATAGAATTCTGGACGTTTCATCGAAGAAGTGCAACATTTAACCCCCATTGTCCAGATCACTAGAAACATCTTCGATATCCCCTTTAACAGTCAGTGGAATTGTCCCATGTTCTAGTTAAAAAATAATGTTTGTTTATTATTACTTGTACACTTTAAATTATAAAATGTCCTTATTCATATTTTCAAGTACTACTTTTACACCACTACACTTTCCGAGAATTATATCATTGTAAGATAAAGATCCGTTTCTGTATTTTGCATTACTTTCTCTTTCAATGAAATGTTTTAGAATTGTAGAATAAAGTTAACTGTATTTGTGTAAAAACATCTTGTTCTGCTAGTTGCTGGAATGGACAGCACAATATTATTTATACACAACTTTAATACCTGCAATAATTTTTGGGGGAGAATGTATAAAGTTATGTTGCTCATTTTAAGGCTTAGATTCCAATGAAGGTCAAATTAAATAGATTTACTGAAACTTAGCAAATAATTCAAATTTTTCACATAATGTGTGTGTGGGGGGGGAGTATTTGAAATTTTTTTAAAATTCTTTCTTTAATTCTATTCATTTATATACATTGTAAAATTTTTTTTTTAACTTTTCAGTGTCAGCCCTGTTCATTTTGAAGAAAGAGAGCCAAAAAAGGTTTGTAAACGTGTTTGTTACTGTATTTAAAACTTTGTATTTTAGCATTGTACTTTATGAAAACTTGCATATTGGCTGTGGTAACCTAGTGGTTATGGTTACGAGGTTATATATGATTAACGTTTTGGCAGTCAGATCTAGGGTTTAAGTCCCGGTTCCACCAAAGATCCATCGTGTAGAGTAATTAATGCACATTAATTAAATCTGTCACCTTAACATGATGTAGTAATTTGTAGAGAGGGTTGCCAGCTCAGGTATCATCCTTTTCACTTGACTGTGTTTCAAAATTACAAGTTCCTGTCACCAATAGACCTTGTGTTATTTTTTAGTGCTGCAACATTAATAATCGATCAATCAAGGAATTGCTTAGTCGCCAGAAAGTCAACCATATTTTTTATCTTCCTCTTATTTCTTTACTGAATTTACATTTATCTTATGTTAAGTAGTTATTTCAGTATAACCTTAATAAAAAAAATTGTTTGAACAACTTTGAAAGTGCATAAATGTAATATTTAAGGGTAAATGTTCCTAAATTAAATGAACTATTTTTGCAAGAAATCTTCTTAAAAAAAAGGCATTAGGAAATTATGTGGAAAAGGTATATGCCTAATTGTTTTCATGAAGAGAAATAATTTTTGCGATTTATTTATTTTTATTTTCTTCTACCTATTTGTTTCATTAATAATATTTTGTTAAAATATATTTTATCTTGAATATATCACAAGCAATTTTCGCTATAACTTAGAACAATGTTTTCTTAATTTTTGATACAGAAAGGGCTATAATTTGTGATGAGATCCAAGAAATGACAAATTATGGAATTCTTAAATGAAATGAGTAAATCTAATGAATGAACTAAAACAATAATACTTAAATTGATTTCTTTAACTTAATAAATTGTACTTACTAGCTGCTTGTCCTGGAGTTGCTCTGGCTTTCTCGAGTGTATAAATTTACCCTAAGGAAATTTACCCCTTTTCCTCTCGATGCCAATACTTCTGAGTGTGTGTGCGCAATGGGAGTAATTTCTATATTTATGTTATTAAAATCCCCTTTTCCACTTTCCTCTTGTCAGATAGGTTTCTTTCCCTCCATTTAAGCCAGCACGGGCTTTTTCGAGTGAAAAACCTTTTTCCTCTTTTTGGAATGAATTTGGAATTTTCGTTTACCTATATATATATATATATATATCAGTTGTTGCATACAGTTAGCTTAAAAATGTCTAAAAGCTAATCTATCCAGAAGAAAACAGACAATGTACGGTTTGATTATTAAAAAATCTATCTTGTAATGAATAATAGAAAACAATACTGCTTTAGTTTTTAAAATGTATAATTATTTAAATCCATTGTTGTTAAATAATGAATTAAAAAAATCTTCCCCTAGCTATTGAAACTATTTCTCATTTCTTTTTTACGAGGTCTGAATGTTCAATTAAAACATGTATAACTATAAAGAAAAAACCAAGGGGAAAAAAGACTAGAAGTTTATTTACATTCTTTGTATAAAAAAATTCAGAAAGAAAATAATACTATCTGATATAAAAAGCTTTTCAGCATTTTTTTCTTATATTTTTAAAGTTTTTCATTCCACTATTTTCAATAAATCATTTTTTATGAATAAAGAAAACTATGAGTTGTGATGTATAGTAAAAAACTAAAATATTACACATTAGTTTAAATAACAATAAATGCTTTCTTAGAATTTAAAGTAATGAAATGGATTTAAAATCTTCCATTATTTGCATTCACTATATCAGAAAAAAAAGCATGCAAGAAGACAATTTTACCTGATAGAAACATTTCAATATTTTGCTCTCATATTTTGAAGATTTTTCTTTCAGTATCTCATAAATTAAGGTAATGATTGATAAGCAGATGTGTTTTTATAGAAAAATAGAAACATATCCATAAACAAGGAGTAGGCTTGCCTACAATGTACCAATCCGCTTGAAAAATAGTTGTATTTTGTTTTGGGAATTTAATTTACAGAAAATCCATAAAAATTTGTAAAAAATCACATGCATTGTAAAAATTGCTTTTTTAAGGATATGTTTTAAATTACAAAATCACGTGCTAAAAGCATTTATTTTTAAATCAAAGTGAATGAATACAATTGAAATAGCAACGTCATGAAATTCCAGTTTGGCTGGAAACCAGTTTTTGATGTCAATTTTCGTCATTCGCTTTGCGTGAACATGAACTTTTTTTTTATTACTGAAGCTCGTTTGATCACAATAGAAAGCGATACAGAGCGATTGAAAAATTTTTTTCATAAAAGCGTGTTGAAATGATCTCAGTAACGAAAAAATGCAAAATATCAATATTTTGTTTTTAAAATAATTATACCGTGTCCTGGCAAAGTACAAAAGCCTGTTTAGTTTCGAAATTATTTTTTGTCTGATCTCTTTTCGGAAAAATAGGATGATGATTTTGAAAAAGTAAAATTTTTTTCCTTGGCGTCCGGCGTTCTCTGTGTGGTAAACGGCTTACAGGGGTAAATGAAACATGCATTTTAATGTTTTTAATTAATATCTTTTTAACTAATTGCGATTTCGAGATATAAATGGTCTAAATCAGTGATACTCAACCTGCGTGCCGCTTGTAGCCTCCCCCCCCGGCCTGTACTGAGTGGCCCGACCATGGCCGATTGCACCAAGAAACTCAATTATTTAGAAATGTACTAAAAATTTAGGGGGGAAATTCTATCAATCAAGCAATAAGATCTATCAATTTGCTTTTTTTTATAGTAGATATAAACAAGAGGCTTGGTTATGGATGAAAGAAAAGCAAAACTACCCCTAACTCAGTAAAAGATGTATTAAAGTAAATATTTTGTGTGTGTCTGTTAAAAAGGTTAATAAAGTATTAAAGTAAAAGCCAAAAATAAAGAAAGAATTTTTTAATATTTTGATTAATTTTGCGTTGTCTGTTGCTTTGGTCTGATATTGTTTTTATATTGTTTTATGTCCTTATATAGCTGCCCGTGTGAAATACCTATCATATGTATGTGGCCCGGTGGAAAAAAAATGTTGAGTACTCCTAGTCTAAATGGATTCCTCGTGTTATTTTCCATTTTTTGCTATCTTCGGCACGTTTCTGCGTCCAGCGGTTCGCATGAGAAGATAGTCTCACATAGATAAATACATAGATACATGCGTTAGTTTATTTGCGAATTTTAAGTGTAGATTTTAGATAAGTACCATTAAATGATTTTAGATAAGTACCATTAAATTGAAAATGAGATTTTGGATTTTGAAAAAGTTTTTAAAACTCGACAAATCTTAAGGTTTTATCAAATAACTTCGTTTCTTTAGTATTTTTATTAAAATCTTTGAATTCCCTTGTTAAAAAAGCAGCAGTACATTTAATACTCTATCTGTACTTTCGTAGCGTAACTTTTCGATTTCGTTCAAATTGATTCTCAACCTTGTTTTTTCAATTCCTACTATTAGTTCACATTCTGCCTATATATATTTGTGTATATATATATATATATATATATATATATATATATATATATATATATATATATATATATATATCTATCTATATGTATATATGTATATTTTGTTCAAATTTTCAATCCTTTATAAAATACTTTATATTCATCCATTCAAGTTCAAATACATTTTTTTAAACTTGTTGTGGATTACACTTGATATTAATACAGTTTTTTCAAATGTTTAATTAATTCTATTTAATTAATGAATAAATAGTAACAAACAAAAATAATAGTCCAACACCATATCTAAAAGGAAAATCGCTCTTTTAGTCCTGTAACGCAATGGATAGCGCGTTGGACTTCTAATCCAAAAATCATGGTTTTAAATCCCACCTGGGCTGGCCTAATTTCTGAGAATGTGATTTCATTTTTTAACGCGTTTTTATAAGTTTCACTTGTATGTAACTTAATCTTTGAACTCGATTTTTACGTACTTTAAAAGGTCAGATTAATTCGAAATTTTACACACTTGTTTAGGACCGATGACAATACAATAGTTTCATAATTTTGTTCCATTGTCCTGGTCAGGAATTTCAGGAATAACGATTTCCCAATTTGGCGACTAATTCCAGATTTAGCGGCTAAAAGATTAAGGTGCAGCCCTGAAAGTGAATAGGCTTGTGGTTAATACAAATCAAACAAAAAAAGTGTTCTTTATGTGAGAAGGGGGGGTGCGTCAGCAATTTCTTACCATATTATAAACAATCGACTAGTTTTTCTGAAAATGGAAATAAAAAAAAAAGACTTGTGCAGGAGAATAAAAAATTTATGTTCTGATTGCTAAGTATTTTTTATTTTTTTAACGTATAAAGCAATACGTTTTTAGAAGTGATGTTACGAATTAACATTATACCAATACGTTTAAAAGTTGATAATACAATAGACATTTAATATTTCTTCTTAACACACTTTTGATACTGACATGTATCTATAGAGACAGAATCTTTGAAATATAACGATATGGGACTTATTCGATGCCCCGTAAATGGAGAGAATAAATACCCTTCAGACCCATTAATTAATATCCATTGAAGAGCAAGACAATTTCCAGGAGTCACATAATTCCGGCTCCAAATATCGAACTCAAGGATAAATTCAACAATGAATAAAAAAAATAATAGTTTAAAAAAACTTAAAAAAACACGCTTTTATTGTAGATCGAAATGAAAAACAAATTATAGTTTAAAAAAAAACAACTAAAAAACACGCTTTTATAGTGAATCGAACTAAAAAGTAAAAAAAAAAAAAATCCTCATATAAGAATAAACATAACGAGAAAATTAATGTCATTGTTGTAAAAGCGCGCAGTTTGCTTTGTACTACATTTTTACACTATCTCAGCATTTCGGAATAGAACTAGCAAGAAATTATAACAATTAATATAGAATACCTCACGCTTTTACCCCAATGACATGAATTTTCTCGTTAATCATTTTATTCTTATATTAAGAATTATGTTTTTACTTTTTAGTTCGAATCACTAAAAGCATGTTTTTTAATTTTTTTTTAAAAAAACTATAATTTTTTTCTGTACTATTTTATTGGAATAATTAAATTTAATTAATGAATAAATAATAATAAAACAAAATTTATAGTCCAGCACTATATACAGAAAGGAAAATGGAAAATCGCTTTCTATTTTACCACTTAATATTGTGATTCTGTCATACGTATATACATATTTATATTAATTGTAATTTGATAAAAAGCAACTAAAGTTTTTTTTTTCTTTGTTGACCTCAGTAGGAATTGACTGTAATTTTTTTTACATTACTTGTTTTAAAGGTGTTAAGTAATATAGTTTAATTCTTTTTCAGTTTATCATTATTATTATTGCGATTTATGTTGATAAAATCTTAATGAATGTAATCTGTTTTGAAATTGAATGATATTCATTGCCCATGTTGCAAAAATGTTTTACTTGAACCCAGTGCCAGTTTAATCTCATTTCAGGCCCTGGGCACAAAAGACCTGCAGGTCTCCTTGGCACTGGCGGATTAAAATTTATAACCAGAAAATCTGATTGAGTCCAGCTTATCTGGGCCCCTTCAGTCCCTTGTGCACCCAACGGATAAACCGGCACTGCTCGAGCCTACCATGCATAGAATCTACCAACCTATTCGTGCTGTATATTATTTAAAAAAAATATTTTCATCTTATTTCTACTGTCTAAGTATTTCAAATGGCTTAGTTTGGCTTTGTGTCTCCTATATTAAATTCTCTAATTAAATTTTCAATTAATATTTAGCTTTCTTCTATCATAGCTCCCCAAGAAAGTTTTATTGTTATTTCTCTTTTTTACGTAGAAGCCACGTTATTGTCTTATGGGGAAAAAAATGATTTGTCATATAAAAAAACTGTTCCATTTGTCATCAGTGCTACAATAATTTTAAGAAGTATATATCTCATTTCATATTTTCTAAATAAAAGAAATACATGTGTTTCTATTACCTCACTTTTATTCATGAAGTTAAGATGGGCCGCGGTAGCCGAGTGATCATGGTTGTATAGTCGTGGCCGGTGTGGCTTCCATCCAGTCGTGAATTTGAGTCCTTGGGCTAGTAAAGAGTTGTCGTGTAAAGGAGCTGATACACGTTAAATATGTCAAAGGTCTCAGTCCTCATGGGGTGTGGAAGTATGGGTAGGGGGATGCCAGCTCATATGTTGTTCTCGTCGCTTGATCATGGTTAAAAATTACGAGGTTTGTTGCGCTCTAGATAGCCCTCGTGTTGCTTCGTAGTGTAGTTTAATAAAGAATTAATGCATTTATAGTAGATTTTGTGTTTGAATTTTTTTATTTTCTGAAGTTTCACTTGTTTAAATTTTTTTCCTTTTGCATTTATTTGGGAATAGGGTATATTATTGTTTTTGCAACATATTATATCAACTTCTTGACTTTCATTTAAGACTCAAAGAAAGTCTAAAAATAATTAGCATTTGGTACATGTGTGAAAACGTTTTTCTTATTCATGTTCCACAAAGTAATTGTCTTTTAAATTCATAGTTTCTTTTTATAATGGTTAGTTTCTTTTTTTCCCCCAGGTAGTAGCTTACATATGTATTTTGCAATGCTGAATATTTTTCAAACTTTTGCTTCTGACTGGTAATAAAATTGATATTTTTTTCTGGTATTCTTTTTAGCGTTGCTTTTTTTAAAGGCTTGCAGATGTTAAGAAATTTGTATTCAATGCATAAAATATAATTTTTTACTAAGACTGTTTTTCTGATTAAATTATTTACTCCTCAGACTACAAGTACATCTAGTTACAAACCACCCAGGAGGTATCCTAATAGGGATTCATTGTTAAACAGACACAGAGATCTAAGCCAGGAAAACAAAAGATTACTTGCTTCCACCGTAACACGCAATTCATCCCTGGCTCCTTTGTTAAGAGAAGGCGGTGGTTTAGGAGGAATATTAGGAGACATTCCGGATTATTATACTGACGGTGGGGAAACAATTTTTACAGGCAAGATCTTAGATAGTGTTTGCTAGAACCAACCTCATGTTTTTTGATATTTGGCATGGTTTGTTCTCTGCATAGCTTATGCACTGCCTATAGTGATACATCAGGTAGTTTCACTTTTGATTCTGCTTTGCTTTTTTATACTTCTTGTAGTTTTGCTTTGCATTTTGACTTTCACAAGTAATTAGAATCACATATCCTGAGAATTCTAATGTATATATGTATACATATAAAATTGTAATGTAAATATTGTAGCTTTATTTTATTTGAGTATTACCAGTGGCACACACAAGGGGTCCTGGGTGTCCGGACCCCCCCCAGCCCTTGATTTTTTTTCCGATTGATTATAATTCTAAGTATATAGTGCATAAAATTTAATTAATGACTTGTTATTAATGATTAATTTTATTAATTAATGCTAATTATTTATTCAAAAATTAGTTTTTTACTGTGTTTTGTTCCCGAAAATCGACAAAATCAAAAGGAGCATGATACAAGAATGGTGAACTTTCGACCCCCTCCTTGAAATATTCCTGTGTGCGCTACTGAGTATTACTTATATATATGTATGAAAAGGAAATATGAAATCAAACTGTTTTAAATCTGGGGAAAATAACAAATATATATTGAAGATTGTAAATTCACTTATGTATTTCTATTAAAATAAACTAGGAACGATGTAAGTCAAATCTTATATAAGTAGTAAATATCATCATTTAAAAGTCGCATATAATTACAGAGCTTTTGAAAAATTTAGTGCTTAAAGAGCATTAAAAAACGAGGCCGTTTTTCTTAAAACTATATATATAGTCAGATCATTATTAAATAGCAAGATTAAAATTGTATATCGTTAACATTTACAGTATTTTAAACTGCTTCAATAAAGTATAGTTTATATTTTTAATGGGTTTTCTTCTACCCACAATGCAACTATGTTTGGGTCAAAACTTAAAAAGCTTTTTTCTCACGTTTTAAAACACTCAATTGAGCTAAAATTTTCTATACACAATTATTTTGGAAGACAATATGATAATTTAATTATAATTAATAAAAAATAATGGATTAAAACTCATTATTTAAGAATTAAATTTTACTCACAATTCCAATTGCTTACAACATGAAGCAGTTGAATATTGAGACCAGAAAATTAAAAATTTCCCCACGTAAAATTAAATTATTAAAACTAATTATTGAATAAATTCAATTTGACTCAACGTTCCCTTTCACTCATCAAACTTAAGGTGTAAAATTTATGTTGTGTGAAGAGTTTGAAAGAAAACCCATGTTTAAAAACTCGTTTTTTACCGGTGTTATTAAAGATTTGCTGATATCCTTTTGTTATAGAACTCTTGAATAGGTTTTTTTAAAAAGAGAGGGAAAATACACATCCTTTGATGAATTACATTTATGATTGGTTGATAGTTAAGGAATTAAACAATAAATCGTTAGAATTTATTATTATAGTATGAACAAGGAATAAGTTTTAAGTATTTAGACTTTTTTGTAAAACGAACTGAAGCAAATAATTTGATTTATATTGAATATTTATATTATTTTTGAAAATTTGGTTAATGCATTGTAAACCTCATTATTATTATTATTTTTGCTTCTTTCTTCTTATTCTGATTCTGCTGTGCATCTTAAAATCCTTCATATTCTTTGTATATTATTTATATGTGCAAATATTTTATCTTTCTAAATTGAAAAATTATTTTGTTTGTTATTTCTTTGAACTGTTTTCTTACTGAAAAGTTAAATATCTTAGTGAATGTTAATGAATATTTATTTACAGAAGTAACTGTGCAGTTTCTGAATGCTCAGGTTAGAAGCTTAAAAGAAGAGTTAGAAACTTTAATTCGAGAATGTGTTGATAA